ACCAGGCACGTGCACCGGTTCTTTGGTGTGACAATCTTGGAGCCACGTATCTCTCTGCTAATCCAGTGTTTCATGCACGGACAAAGCACATTGAGGTTGATTTTTATTTTGTCAGAGAACGTGCAAGGCTCTGGAGATACGTTTCATTCCTACGCAAGACCAGCTAGCAGATGGCCTAACTAAACCTGTTGGTGTACAACAGCTTCGGTTCTTTAGACACAATCTCAGCCTCTCCGGTTGTGATTGAGAGGGAGTGTTAAACAACCGAACGTATATTGTCGTGTACATCAAGTTAGGTAGTTTCGAATATAATCTATCTTGTAGCGCAATCCTGTATCTGTTACGATCTGCCCAGATCGATCTCTGTACCTACCTTGTATTCTGGATATACATAGATGACCAGGGCCGCATCAATTGATGTGTACCAAAACCTAAAACCATTACGTTTTACAAAGCGCAACAAGCATCCGACTATTAATCGTGTTTCTGTGATTTCCAATTTTTAATAGAATTGAGACGTTGCCCTATTGCTAAAGATTTTTATTTACTTTTTTGCATCCAGTGGGAGTATTGCAAGGTCCTGATCAATTTTTACATTTTTCTTGATAGACAAACATTGCTAGAAGATCTTAATAACCTTGCCGGACTTGACTATTTTTTGCCATTGATAGTTGTAGACTTGGAGGCTCGTCACCGGCCACCTCGAGTGGCCCTGAGGCAACACAGTAGTGCGATGATGGCGTGCTGCGTCAATGCTTTGAGCATTTGAGAACGTCCACGGCCGTCGTGCAGAAGTCCCCTACATCTTAGACCAGGGACCCGAAGTCACGAATCACAAATTGACGAGCTCACCGTCGACTCACGGTCTGCATAGAAGACCAATAATAAAGGATTGATTGTTAAGCAATTATGCTTTTTCGCCCTTCAAGTCATGGTAATCCATGGTAATAGGTGGTGCTACTCCCTGCTGGTGCTTTGTGTGCAAATAAATCATATCCGTCGCATCTAATGAATTGAACATTCCTTAATGATCTTTTTTGAATCAACGTTCCTTAACGATTTAAGGATACCGTAATAGCTCTGTCAGTTTGGGTGTTAAACTATGTGGGTCAAGAGAGCAAACATGATTGGGCGGAGTGGTTGAGACACAGTCTAGCTACAAGCAACAGTTGGATAGAACAAACGGTTTATAACAATGGATCGTGCTGAGATTGTTGAGATAGTATCCTCTGAGCCTAAAACAAAGAGCGTACACTCCTAACATACATACTCCCTCCGTTCCATAACCTTTGTCATGGTTTTAGTTCAAGAATTATGGAATAGAGAGAGTATCTTTTTCTACATATATGCCGCATGACTCATGTGCTTCAATGAACTCTGGTGAAATCATATTTCTTTTTTGAAAAGGAGCATTACCTCTGATCTTTGCATCGACCGATGCACACAGTCATCTTTACTGCATTATTTAACAAGGCCTTACAAAATAATTACATATATCAACCCAAAGATACCTTCCTGGCAAAAACGGTCATCCTACCTACAAGATAGATGATGTGCCCTGACCTCGCGCCATGCATAGCAAGAAATACGGTGGCCTCACCAAGTCGCCTGCCGGCTAGCCCGGAGCACCAACTTATCTAGCAGACCCTCAACATGGACCACATGTGCATGCTGTAGAATCGTCGCCGCCTTCTTCTGCAGTCCCATCCTAAGGAGCAATCAATGCACGGATCTTGCTAGACCCTTCCGCCCTAGACGCCGGACAGTGTCAGCCTCCTGCACGCGCCCACATCAAGCAATATTCAGCGTCCAAAACCCAGAAGCACCTTGCCGCCAAGAATAGCATTTGTCGATACTGTAGATGGCACACCACTCCACCTTGGTCACCCCACGAGAAGCACAAGGAGACCTGCATCCAACCACCAAGCCAAACACGTGTCCTTCCATACAGTGTGTAACCCCAAAGATGACGCCCTCATGGGTGGTGATGAGGCAGGAACATCGTCATCATCCATCCCGAAAAGCACAAATCTCGGGTCCCCCGGGGAATATAGGGAATGCGAATCACCCCACAACGACTCCAAAGAGGTAACGACGCCTGCGAACGCTGCTGTTGACGGTCCTGACTGAGGCCAAACAAGGCTTTCGTTGGTAGATTCGCAACCATCCCCGGCTAGACCACCTCCATCATCCCACATGCCCATGGGCGACGTCTGCTATCAGGAAACCGCACGACTAAAGCCGCACCACCGCCCTGAATTGCTGCCACGCTGCGTTGCCGACAGCAGACGACGGACATGTCCAGGACACACATGCGGATCTCGACCACAACCGCATCCCGGAGGCACGACGGAGAATGTCACCGCCGCTGACATCATCCCCCGCCAAGGCATTGCCACGCGGAGCCCCGGCGGTGATGAGGAGAGGGTTAGAGGTGGCTAGAAGCCCTAGATCAGATCGGAAAAGCGACAGATCGGGAAGGAGGGGGTCAAGGAGTGGGGCGGCGGTGGCATCAACCTAGATTAGTTATCAATTCACTACTAGTAAAATCATATATGTGATATTTATTTTATAAGCATTTGGTCTTGCCACCCAATCAGTGGTGATATCATATACACAGTGATTAGGAGCGCCTCTCGTCTGGTGTTGATTAGATCAACCAACGGCTATTTAAATTGGCCTTGATGCCCCATCAATAGAGGTGCGGACTCATGAAAAATAGAGATGAACAATGTAGAGAGCTAGAAACATTGCATCAAATTCCCCAATCTGTTTAGATATTTTGAGCTACACAACTATTCGAACTTCAGTGTTTCAAACAGCTGAGATGTTAGATTCTTGGGGAGAGAAATGTAACGGAGTTTCAAATGGGGCAACCCTTCCTACGCGTGCATCGTGCTGGAGACCGCGTGCTGCGCGTGGGCAGCTGAGAGCAGCGCAGCCAGCGGCGGCGTGTACTGCAGTGCAGCAGACGTAAACTGGGCCGGCGTAGCTGGCCGGAGCACGGCGGCACGGCGTCAAATGGATCACTGCCGCGTTCTTTACCAACGAGTTTGACGTAGATTCTTTCTCATATTTATTACTTCTTCATAGCCACAATCGACTTGCAAGCACACATAGACTTGTATGTCAGACTTCTGATAACGCAATTAAGATGTTGGGACCATTCATGCTCTATGAACTAGCACAACAAACCTCTCCAACGAGAGAGGTATTCTCAGACTTTTCGCACACTTCCATGCTGCGACTCCATTCTGGAACCACCCTAGTGCTCCTTCCTCTGCTTAGTCAACGGATATGTGTCCAGATGCCTCCCACTTCTATCTCCTACTTTGCTTATGTTTTACTCCCTCCGTTCCCAAATACTTGTCTTTCTAGGCATTTCAAATGGACTCAACATACGGATGTATGTAGACATATTTTAAAGTGTAGATTCATTCATTTTGCGCCGTATGTAGTCACTTGTTGAAATCTCTAGAAAGACAAGTATTTAGGAACGGAAGGAGTAGATCTCTATCTCCCGCAGAATGTTTTACTGATACTTAGAGAGAGCAAAGATGGCTGGGTAATAAGAGACTAAAACTAACTACATGCAGCGATAGGAAGCACCACATGCTTTTATAACAATGGATGAGGCTTAGATGGCCGATATATCACATCTTCGGCGCGTAAAAGAAAAGCGTATATATTCCCAAAATATATCTTCTTAAAGGATTTTTTAGACTTTTTCTAGTTTTATTCCTTAGTGGGATCATAGGGCTTTATTTATTGATGGACCAATGTGCAATCTCGGAAGCTCAATGAGCCAGGCATTTTAATGGACTTGTACGCATCTCACCCAACTCCATTGCATAGAAGCTGATAAATACGGAGTTGTTCGTGTACACACAAAAGTGCATAAGCAAACTGATGAAACTAACAGCCTACCAGCTGAACGAATCACTACTACTAGCCAACCAAAAGATCCACAGTTCTCTTCGTCATCTAACAGACCACAAAGCATACTAAAAGGCCCACAAAGCTCAATCATTCTAGTTTAAGATCTATATGTTGCCAGCGCCAACAGCAACTTGGCCCGGGAATTCCCAAAAAAAAGCAACTTGGCCTGTGAGTGCCATTTGCTTCGCATGTATCTCTCCTGGAACGAACTCATGTATCTCTCGCAGAGCAAGAATTCAGTAAATGTGAACATCAAGGAGATATAACAGAATTAGGTTTTAGCAGGGTAAATATCACTGAAACGAACAAAACATCTCCCCGACCGATTAAAATTCAACACCCAGGCACATAAATCCTCACAGTGTAATTCAACCATAGACAGAGCAGCAACAACGCTGCTCAAAACATACATAGGTGCAGCACACCCAAGAAAAAAGAAAACCAATTGTCCACGAAACTCATTCTGATACGTACACAGTTAAATTTAGACTCATTCATATATGCTTGACACCCGCATATGAAATTATTCGCTGTGTTGTAGTAGGAAGGTTGATGACTAGTATGCTGTAATCTTAATATAAACTCCATTTGGCTCCTCAATGGATTTGGCAACCTCAAGACAGCCTGAGATTGCAATTACTGGACGACCTCACCCGTCTTTTGCATGCGGGGTCAGCGAGGCGGGGCTCAAGGTTAACCCTTCCCCCATCAGGGCAACATCCCGTTTTCACGGCCATCATATCTTGGTCTGCGATATGTATGCATTCTATTGCCAAGTGATAGTCTTCTTCCATTCCGTAGATGTTCCACTAGTTGCTGATGTCATCAAGCAATTTTATAGAGAAATAAGTAAACCATCCTCCACGACTAATTTCCAGGCCGCTTGTACATTATTCTAAAATATTTGAAGTGAGCAGCATGTCCTATACACATTTCTTGCTAAAGTCCCTTGAAATATTATTGAATAACAGACAAAAAATGGCCAAGTGAGTATAAAAGTCAGCGGGAAGCAAATCTACCTTGAGAACAATCTGTACAGTTCTGATACCCATTGTATTGCATCAGCAAATGCTTGGGAGGACCCAAGCAAATGGTCCGTAATCCTCCGTTGCTCGCCCTGGGTAGTCGGCAGCGAGTTTATGCGAAGATCCATCAACCAAAGAATACTCGATACACTGACCAGGGACCCTAATGAAGTACAAGCAGTTCCTTCGAACTGTCGGATGATCTGGACCAAGGCAACCAGCAAACTGAAGAATCTTCTATATCTAAATAGGAGCCCCCTGTCCCCGTGTCCGCTCCACGCCCTTTTCGTTTGCTCCTCCTTCCTCAACCTGCGGAAGCGGAAGCGGAAGCGTACGTTTCTCTAATCGAAACGTCTGTGAGTCCCCCTCATAAGCTGGCCCCCTCTCCCCAAACATCACAAACGCGACGCGGCGACCGACACAACAGAATCTAGCCTCCTCTACGATTTGCGGCCACCACCGGAGATAGAACCGGCGGCGGTGGCGGCCTGCAGGGCAAGGGCATGATCTCAAGAAAATTGATCTGGAGGAAGGGTTGAACTTCATGCAGATACAGGCACACACTTTACCTCCTCCAGATCTGCGAGATGATGGGCAGGAAGACATCACATCGAGGATTTGAGGTCTTATGAACAGAGCGCTCGCAACAATCTGAGTTTCATGAAGGTACTGTTTGTCTTCTAATTCCACTTTATATCCCACCATGTCCTGTCATGCCTGACTGCCTCCCTTATCATCCTCCCACGCTAACAATTTTATGCTTGCTACGTTCTTGATTGAATTCCTAGACGTTCGTTGCCGAGGGAGGTAAGGCAAAAAATTTAGATGAAATGATCAACTGATGAAATTCTCCCAGTTTTCCTTCCCGGGGGTAATATCGAGTATTAGTAATTGACTGTACTTCCATGAAAAAAAATTCACTCCTTAGTAATTGAATAATATTTGCTCTTCAAATTTTAAGGGGACTCTGGTTGAAAAGTATCTATTATTTTCTATTCCTTGATTGTAAGCTTATTACATACTACTTTTTGTTACCTACAGGTTACATATAGTGACATGCGGTTCTGGGAGTTAGCAAACAACATTGCTGGAATCATTTATATGCTACCTTTTTTTTTTTGCGGGGCATTTATATGCTACCAACATATCAACACTGTCATTGTGGTGCTTATCTATTGAATTTAAATAAAACGTACTCTTACAGTCCTGCTAGAAAACTGAAGTATATTTTGCCCAATTTGCGATTATGGGTAACAGTAACACTGACCTATTTCTATATGATCGCTGAACTTATATCCATCTTTAGTTTTGCAGGTAAAGCTTTACAACCACATCAAAGCCACCGATACAGCCATATTTTGATGTAACAAGACCTGGCAGTATTCTTTTACATCAGTTAAGATGGGGCTTATGCAACCTATTTTTATCCTTACTGTTCGATAGTTTGTTCAAATTTTCTCACTCTTTAAGTTCATTTTTATACAGCCATTTCATTGTGGTACTGGCGTTTGGTTTGTGCCTTCAGGTAGAGCTAATGAATTTCTAATATTGTTGAACAGAGCTCTATGAGATATGCGACGTTGTAAAGTTTTTGTTCAAGGTCAAGCTTATTTTTGCTTTCGATTCCAACAGAGTACATAATACAATTTATTATATTTCAGAGGCACTCAAATAGAGAACTTCTGTTTGGAGTGCTAAGTTTATCATTTCAGAGATTGCAAGCGATGTTTTGCAATTTCTACAACACAATTCTTCAGTTTCCAGTGGCCATTTTAATAAGATGCTCTCATGCTTTTACATTTGTGGATTGAATCCACCAACTAAATTAGAAGCTGACATACTATGTATGATGTTCCCAAACCATCAGCGAAGCTTCAGATTTGTGCCTAGGCCAGCTGTAACATCCCAAATTTTCAATTTGGAATGTTATACATTAGATCATCATGCATACCATATTTTCTTGCATTTTGGTTGATCCTAGAAATTTCACGCAACTCAAGGACCCTCGGAGAGAGTTGGAGATTTCGTTATTTTCATATTTGAGAATTTTTCTCGAATTTGAAAAGAGGATCATTTGATTTATTTATTTTATCTTCAATTATTTTCCGGTGTCAAAATATATGAGAGAGGGAATAATATGACTTTCCCAAAATATAGGAAAAATGAAGATTTAATAAATAAATCAATTTTGTTTTTGCCGGAGTTTTATTTGCGTTTTCTTTGGATAGGGAAAAATGCGCGTTTTCAAAATTGCATTTTAGGCCCGGAGAAAAGTTCATTTTGTTCGGCTCATTTTTAGGAGTCGGGGAAAATTTACTTTAGATTTTTCGGAGTTCGTTTAGATTTTCTTTTTGTTTTTCTGTGCGGAACCGATTTAAAAAAAAAGGAGCCTCCCGCCAGGCCAGCCGGGCCAAAGGCCCAGCCAGCCGGCCCCTTCCCTCGCGCGCAGCGCAGGCGCCAGGCGCCAGGCGCCCAGGCAGCCGCAGCCGCTCCCTGGCCGAGTCCCAGCGGGACTTAGGTCGGTTAGCCCCTCCCCTTTCCTTTGTTTTGTTTTCCTATTCCTAGTCTATTTCTTGTCCCCTACCCCAAGTCTCCTCTCCCCTCACCTATATAAATACCCCCACACCCCCCCTCTAAAACATCAAATCAAAGCCCCGCGCCTCCCCAAGCCCCGCACCACCACGCGCCCCTCACCACCGCCGCCGCCGCCTTAGCCGCGCCGCCCCTCACCACCGCCGCCGCCGCACCTTGCCCACGCCGCCGCCGCCCTACGCCGCCGTTCGCCGGAGCCCCTCGCCAAGGTTGCCCCGCGCCGCGTCTCTTTTTCTTCCTCGGTTCAGTTTTTCTTATAAACCGTTCCGATTCTTTTCTTCTCTTCCGATTCGTTTTCTTTCCGGTTCTTTTCTAAACCGTTCCGGTTTTCTAGATCGGTTTTTCATTTGGTTTTCTTCTCCAAAACCCTAGATCGGATTCGTTTTCTCTTCCGATTTAGTTGCCTTGGACCGTTCGCCGGACCATTCATCTTAACGAACGTGATCACCGATTCTTCTAGGTTAACGAACGTCCGTTCGTTTAATCGTTCTTCTTTTTCTTTTCGTCGGATTTATTCCGCGATCGTGATCTCAGATCCGATCTTCGTTCTAGTCTTTCTTCTCGCTCGTTTATCGGAATCAGGTGATTCAAGCGCCTGGAGTTTCGTTTCGAAACCGCCGTTCCGTCTAATCAACTTAAACAAGTTTTTGCCCCGGTAAAATTTGACCTAGTTTCAACTTGCTAGAACCGAGTTGTTTTCTTCCGCCGTTTGTTTTCCGTCGTTTGTTCAGTTCGTTCTTTCTTTGCAACTGGAGTTCTTAAGTTGAACTTTCTGGTTCGTTCTCTTGTTCGAGTTTTATCTGTGCATTAGATGAGTACTTATTGTATGCTTGTTGTTTGTCTGCGATAGATCACCCGGATTGCGCCGCTTGTTACTTCGAAACCCTAGGTCTCGCGGATCATCAGCAAGGCAAGTAACACTTTGATCATACCTTTTCTACAACCCAGTTTTATTGCATTAGATCAATCCTTTCACATTGCATGATTAGGATCTAATTAAATTGTGGGATGGGAAGTAGATGAGGTAGTACCTATTACCTATTTATTATCAAACCTTTGGAAGTTACTTCTGCGTTTGCTTATTATGCCATGCTATGCTAGTAGACGTGGATTGGGTGAGTGAAATCCATGACAGATGTGAGTTGATAATTTTAATGGTTTATCTAAGGTGGCAACTTAAACACACATCTGGGTGGATTGAGGCACCTGATGTCTATCAGGACTTGCCTGTTTTTTTTCGGACCTCCACCCAGGCTCAAAGGGATCATAAGATAATTCATGCTAGAAACTTCCGTGTGCAGCCACATGCTACTATGGGCTCTGGCATAGTTGACTAAGTTGTGCGAACTCTTACGGGGTGGACTAGCAGATGTAGGGATTGTAGGTGGTACGGTCTACCCCACACGTAAGGTGCTAACGCTTCTGAAAGACTATGTCTCGGTCATCCGTTTCTCAAACACCATGTAGTGTGGGAAAACAAACGGAGGCGATCGAGTCATGTGGGGAAAAGTGCGCAAACCTCTGCAGAGTGTACAAACTAATCATGATTAGCCGTGTCCCCGGTTATGGACAACTTGAGTATCTAGTACTTGAATATCATTGTGAATCTCAACATGTTACTTCTAATTAATGTTGTTGGGTTTTAATTACTTTTAATTGGGATTGAGAATGCTGTCAACCATTCTCAATGTTTCACAACCACCATGATAGTTAAATAAATTTATTCCTTTGCAGTAGGGAAAAACTGGTTTTACGCAAAAACTGTAACCATAGAGCTTTCCACCAGCCATATATGCATATAGTATAGCTGTTCATTCCATTACTCTCTATGTGTTACTTTGCCAGCATATTCCATGTGCTGACCCGTATTCGATCTGCAACTTCTTATGTTGCAGACTTTTCAGACGACGAGTAAAGTGCTTTTAGGTCGTGGCCCTATACTCAGTGATGCCGTTGGAGTTGATGGTCCCATTTACCTTCCAAGTCTTCCGCTGTTTTCGACACTATATGGCCTTAAGCCATATTTATTGTAATAAGTTTCTTTGAGACAATGATGTAATAAGTGTGTGATTGCCACTCTGCTATAAATCCTTCGATGTACTATGTGGTGTCAGCATTACTGATCCAGGGATGACACCTGAGCACAGAGATCAGACTGTTTGAGGTCTGGTCGCTACAGAGATGGTATCAGAGCACACGCTAACTGTAGGACACGACCACTAAGTTAAAGCCATACATCATCACTCTCTTCTCATTTTCTAACTCCTCATCTTTTCTACTCTTTTAGGATGACGAACGCGAAGATTAAGTACGCCCAACCAGATGAAGGCACACCTTTTGGATATCACTTGAAGGAAGTCACCAAGTACCTGAATATTGGATTACCAAGTTTCACGGGAACCTTCAACGCCACTCTGCCTGAAGAGGAGCGCTGGAAGATTCAAGCTCACGTTCCGGAAAGAACATTCGCGCCAATCACGAAACCCATAGATAGTGTTTTCAATGCACCAACCTGGAGTCTGGGAAGGAGCATGGCAGCTCATATCACCATAGGACGCATTGGAGAAGTTTATCAAGAAGATCTCAAGGACACTATCTACCAGATTTGCGGACGCCGAGATGAACAATGGGAGTTAGTCAGCACCAAGAAGGATAGATCCATTGCATCTTTCATCCAAGAGTTAAACCAGCACATCCGACGCCACGAGAACCAGATGTGCAATGACATGATAGAGTTGAAGAATGCGAAGGCAAGGATCATCGAGCTAGAAGGAGGACTGAAGTCAACGCGCAAGGACTACATGGACGAGATCGTAGCTCTAGCAAGACACAATGTCGATCTTAAGCAGGAGATTGAAGAACTCAAGAGGAAGTTAGGATCCAAGGAGGAAGACGAGTATGTCGCATGTCCGGACGCCTACATCATCATCGACGACACCGATTCGGATCCAAGTGAACCCGACTTTGAAGACGAAGCTGGAGCGGATATCATGGAGTCTTCCACCGGTTCAAATTTCTAGAAGACCACCAGATAGTAGTAGTATTCCCCCTGTAAACACAATAGTTCGAGCACTTTTGCGATAGTTAGACCGTTGTAAGCCCTTGTTTGATTGAATGAAGTGATTTTTGTGTGCATTTGCTCATGTGCATTGGGGTAGTGTTTTCCCTTTAGACCTCTCTCTATTCTTAATTCTCGTCTTTTCTAAACCCTCAGATGCCTCCGAGACGTGACAACGGATTCCCACCTGAGCTCACTCAGTTGATCCAGCAGCAGAATCAATTGATGCAGATGTTATTTCAGAACCAGCAGAACAACAGCAACAACCCACCACCACCACCACCTGTTGACCACTTAGCCCGTTTCCTTAGGCTGAATCCGCCGGTGTTTTCTAGTAGCACCGAGCCGATTGTAGCAGATGATTGGCTCCGTAAGATTGGAAGGTAATTGACCACTGCAGGATGCACGGATGGTGAGAAAGTGAAGTTTGCCGCTCACCAGCTTGACGGACCCGCGGCAGCATGGTGGGAGAATTTCACAGCCACCTACCCAGTAGACACTGTCACATGGGATCAGTTTCAGCAAGCTTTCCGCACTGCCCATGTTTCAGCAGGAGCTATGGCCATAAAGAAGCGTGATTTTCGCAACTTACGCCAAGGAGGAAGGACAGTTGGCCAGTACGTTGACGACTTCATCAAGTTAGCACGTTATGCACCAGATGACGTTGCTACGGATGCAGCTAAGGAGAAGTTTCTGGAAGGATTGAATGATGAGCTAAGCATGTAGTTGATGGTAGCGAGTTTCAACAATTACCAGGAGTTGGTAGATCGTGCCATCATGATTGAAGGGAAGCAACAACAGATTGAAAACCGTAAGAGGAAGTATGGACAGGGGAAGTATAACTCTGGAGCCCAGCAGAAGCCCCGTTTTACCCCTAAACCGGGATTTAAGTTTCAGCACACCCATGGAGGAGGTAGCTCGTACAACCATAATGGCCACAAGAATGGTAATGGGAATGGAGGAAGCAACGGCCAGAACCGGACCACCCCATCGACCCCAACCAAGAGAGACCTGAGTCAAGTCACTTGTTTCAAGTGTTCCAAGACCGGACATTATGCCAATGAATGTCCCGAAGGCCAGAATGGAAATGGCAATGGAAGCTCTGGGAAGAAGCCGAACCCTTTCAATAGGGGACAGGTGAACCACATTAATGTGGATGAGGTTGAAGATCAACCCGATGCAGTAATAGGTAAGTTTTTGGTTATGTCATTTACTGCACTCGTTCTTTTCGATACTGGTGCATCGCATTCATACATATCAAGGGGATTTGTGGATAAATATAACCTGCCAACCCAAGCCCTTAGGTCACCCATGTTAGTAAGCTCACCAGGAGCGGAGTTTATGGCTAGATGATGGTGTGATCGGTTACCATTAAGGATTGGTAACTATGTGTTTCCCTCAGACCTAATAGTATTGGAATCTCAAGGATTGGATGTAATATTAGGCATGGATTGGTTATCAAAGTATAAAGGGAATATTGAGTGTGCTAGGAAGTCAATTTTGCTTACCACACCAGAAGGAAGAAGGATCAAGTATGTATCCCGGCATATGCCAAACAGGACACAAGTAAACTGCCTAACAGGAGTTGTGCAAGAGGATGTACCAGTGGTAAAGGATTTTCCTGATGTATTTCCAGAGGAATTGCCAGGCATGCCACCGGATAGAGACATTGAGTTTTTGATTGAGTTATTGCCAGGTACAGGCCCAATATCGAAGCGACCATATAGGATGCCAGCAAAGGATTTGGTGGAAATTAAGAATCAGATTAAGGAGTTATTGGATAAAGGTTACATTCACCCAAGTTCTTAGCCTTGGGGATCACCCGTGCTTCTGGTGGAAAAGAAGGATGGATCATTAAGGATGGTTGTAGATTATCGGGGATTGAATGAAGTAACCATCAAGAATAAGTACCCATTGCCAATGATCAACGATCTGTTTGATCGATTGCAAGGAGCTAAAGTGTTTTCCAAGATCGATTTGCGATCAGGGTACCATCAATTGAAGATTCAAGAGCAGGACATACCTAAGACAACATTCACAACGAGATATGGACTGTATGAGTATACCGTTATGTCATTTGGATTGACTAACGCACCTGCCTATTTTATGAACCTGATGAACAAAGTGTTTATGGAGTTTTTGGATAAGTTCGTCGTAGTGTTCATTGATGACATCCTGGTTTATTCAAAGAATGAAGAGGAGCATAAGGAACATTTGCGTTTGGTTTTGGAGAAACTAAGGGAACATCAGTTATATGCCAAATTTAGCAAATGTGAGTTTTGGTTAAAGGAAGTTGGATTCCTCGGACACGTTATATCTGGAGAAGGTATAGCAGTTGACCCCACAAAGGTTGAGACCGTAACTGAATGGGAAGCACCAACAACAGTTGGAGAGATCCGGAGTTTTCTTGGACTCGCAGGATACTACCGGAGATTCATTGAGAACTTTTCAAAGATTGCAAAGCCTATGACTGAATTGTTGAAGAAGGATACTAAGTTCAAATGGACTGAGGAGTGTGAGGCTAGTTTCCAGGAGTTGAAGAAACGTTTGGTCACCTCACCAGTATTAATCTTGCCAGATCAGACCAAGGATTATGAGGTGTATTACGACGCTTCACGTCGAGGACTTGGAGCAGTGCTTATGCAGGAAGGAAGAGTTGTTTCGTATGCTTCACGGCAACTGAAGCCTCATGAGTTGAATTATGCCACGCATGATTTAGAGTTAGCAGCCGTAGTGCATGCATTGAAGACGTGGAGACATTTCCTTATTGTAAATCATTGTGAAGTGTATACGGATCACAAGAGTTTGAAGTACATTTTCACTCAGAAGGAGTTGAACCTCCGACAAAGGAGATGGTTGGAGATCATCAAGGATTATGACATGAGATTGCATTACCATCCCGGAAAAGCTAATGTAGTAGCTGACGCATTGAGCCGTAAGAGCCATGTCAACACCCTAGTGACGGGGAAAATACCAAAGGAGTTAGCAGAAAACCTTCGTGAGCTATGTTTGGAAATAGTTCCGAGAGGCTATGTAGTAGCATTGGAGATTCAGTCAACATTGATGGATAAGATCAGAGAAGCTCAGAAATCTGACAAGGAGATTGCTTCTATAAAAGAGAAATTGAGCGAAGGAAAAGCAAAGGGATTTCGTGAGGATGAACACGATACCCTATGGTTTGAGGACCATGTTTATGTGCCAAAAGACCCGGAGATCAGGAAGTTGATTTTGCAAGAGGCACATGATTCACCGTATTCGATTCACCCAGGGAATACCAAGATGTATTTGGATTTGAAGGAAACATTCTGGTGGACCGGAATGAAGAAGGATATTGCAGCATATGTAGCAGTTTGTGATGTATGTCAGAGAGTAAAGGCAAAGCATCAGAAGCCAGCAGGATTGTTACAACCATTGCCGATACCCGAATGGAAGTGGGATAAGATAGGCATGGATTTTATCACAGGACTACCCAGGACGAAAGCAGTCCATGACTCGATATGGGTAGTAGTTGATCGTTTGACGAAGGTAGCACATTTTATCCCAGTTAAGACCACTTACACCAGTGCTAAGTTGGCAAAGATCTACATGACTAGGATCATTTGTTTGCATGGAGTTCCGAGGAGTATCGTATCAGATAGAGGAACCCAATTTACCTCAAAGTTTTGGAATCAGTTACATGAAACTTTAGGAACCAGACTAGAGTTCAGCACAACTTTTCATCCGCAGACAGATGGACAGACCGAGAGAGTCAATCAGATTTTGGAAGATATGCTGAGAGCTTGTGCAGTAGATTATGGATCTAGTTGGGACGATAACTTGCCGTATGCGGAGTTTTCTTATAGCAACAGTTACCAAACCAGTTTGAAGATGGCACCTTTCGAAGCTTTATACGGAAGGAGGTGCAGGACACCGTTGTCATGGGACGAAGTTGGAGACCGTCAATTCTTTGGACCAGATTTGATTAAGGAGTCTGAACGGAAAGTTAAGTTGATTCGCAATAGGCTCAAGGTAGCCCAGTCCAGGCAGAAGAGCTACGCATATTCTAAACGCAAGGAGACAGTTTACGAAATCGGAGACAGAGTTTACCTTCGAGTATCCCCACTTCAAGGAGTTAAGCGCTTTGGAGTTAAGGGAAAATTAGCACCGCGTTTCGTTGGACCGTATAAGATCTTGCAACGTATGGGAGAAGTCGCTTATAAGTTGGAATTACCAGAGGGACTGTCAGGAGTTCATGATGTATTCCATGTTTCTCAGCTGAAGAAATGTCATGCCGAAATGGCGGAAGTACCGCTAAGAGATACAGTGCCACTCGAAGCGATTCAGTTGGATAACGACTTAACGTATGAGGAGAAGCCAGTAAAGATTCTCGATTATGCCAGCAGAGTTACTCGCAGCAAGGTTATCAAGTTTTGCAAAGTTCAGTGGAACCACCACTCAGAAGATGAAGCCACCTGGGAGAGAGAAGAAGATTTGCTCAAGGACCACCCTCACCTATTTTCTAGCCAACCCGAATCTCGAGGGCGAGATTCATCTTAAGGGGGGTAGGTTTGTAACATCCCAAATTTTCAATTTAGAATGTTATACATTAGATCATCATGCATACCATATTTTCTTGCATTTTGGTTGATCCTAGAAATTTCACGCAACTCAAGGACCCTCGGAGAGAGCTGGAGATTTCGTTATTTTCATATTTGAGAATTTTTCTCGAATTTGAAAAGAGGATCATTTGATTTATTTATTTTATCTTCAATTATTTTCCGGTGTCAAAATATATGAGAGAGGGAATAATATGACTTTCCCAAAATATAGGAAAAATGAAGATTTAATAAATAGATCAATTTTGGTTTTTGCCGGAGTTTTATTTGCGTTTTATTTGGATAGGGAAAAATGCGCGTTTTCAAAATTGCATTTTAGGCCCGGAGAAAAGTTCATTTTGTTCGGCTCATTTTTAGGAGTCGGGGAAAATTTACTTTAGATTTTCCGGAGTTCGTTCAGATTTTCTTTTTGTTTTTCTGTGCGGAACCGATTTAAAAAAAAAGGAGCCTCCCGCCAGGCCAGCCGGGCCAAAGGCCCAGCCAGCCGGCCCCTTCCCTCGCGCAGCGCAGGCGCCAGGTGCCAGGCGCCCAGGCAGCCGCCGCCGCTCCCTGGCCGAGTCCCAGCGGGACTTAGGTCGGTTAGCCCCTCCCCTTTCCTTTGTTTTGTTTTCCTATTCCTAGTCTATTTCTTGTCCCCTACCCCAAGTCTCCTCTCCCCTCACCTATATAAATACCCCCACACCCCCCCTCTAAAACATCAAATCAAAAGCCCCGCGCCTCCCCAAGCCCTGCA